TGTCTGCCCGTGTGCAGACATGGATGGCGGCAACGGCGCTCCTGGCGCTGGTGGTTGCGCAGCGGTGGCGTGCGTACGTGAGGAGAAGGGCGCGGGCTGGGGTATTGGCGGCCATGGCCTGGCGATGGCCAAGGCGGCCAGGCGGAGTGCGCCGGCGGTGGCAACTGCGGCTGCGACGCTGTGGGGAGCAGCGGGGCCGGGGAAGGAGCATGGAAGGGGCGGCGCTGGCAGGGGAAGGCAGTCCAGCGCGACCGTGGGGGCTTGCGCGCGCTCGCGCGCACACGCAAAGGGCCGAGCGATGGCAGCGTAGCCACGACGAGGACTTGCACGAGGCAGCAGGGAGCAGTGAGCACTGGTGCTGTCCCAGAAGCACATCCAGGCGTGGGCGCACACGATGACATGCGACAGCAGCGCGGGGCCGTGGGGGCAGCAGCCGGCCTTGGCGTGCACCAGAAGGAGCGCGGGGAGAGGGAGCAGCGGGGTGTGGGCACGATAGAGCAACAACACGGCATGGACGGTGCTGCATGTGCTCCTCTGGAAACAACGTGCACTAAACTAGTCAAGCGATGGAAAGGGACGAAGCAACGAGAACAGCGACAGCAGCTCGGTGAGTAGGTGGGATGAACGGTTGAAAGCGAGCGGGGCGAGGTAGTTGAGGTGAGCGGCAGAGATCGCTCGCTACAGTTGCCAGTTCACGAACAGAGCGCCAACGACATGGTTCAATGCGTTCTAGCGAAGTTCGGTCAATTTTTTCGTGAGCATCGTAACTTCTAATGTAACCACGACCTACACCGCATCCTAGTATACACCTAATTGCCACCGATCGTGCAAAAACATAGATGTAGTGCTTAACCATTTTTGCTAGAAATCAAACGCCAAAATGGCATTGCCAACTATCGTCTCATACTTAAAAGAATTCAAGGTTCCAGTCAGAACTAATACTCCAAGCACTTTTGGTTGAATTTTTAAACGGTCTAAACTTTACCAAACTTTACCAACAACTATTTCACAACATAGCACACACTTTGTACCAAACAATAGAACCAAAACATCATGGCGTTATTTAACTACTTTGCATTTTACAATTCGCCAAAAAGTATACTCTCAACACAACTTCGAAATTTTTGCCGATTCAACGAAAAGGGCAAATTTTAATTTCTAATTCGATTTTTGAGCCATCAGAAATACCATGGAACAACATCTATTTACCAAATCAACGGTTGTATTTTCATCTACTAAACTTGCACTTCAAATTTCATTAAGTACCAATTACAAGTTATATTTTATTTTTGTTTATAAAAAAAATATTTTTCGTGCCAAACGATTAAATCTACCTGTCTATTTTCTTGTTGGGGTTTTCATTAGCACCTTAATACGAGTTTTAACTCTAACACCCGAGAAACCTGCCTTGATAAATTCTCTTAGGCCTTAATCTAGGTGCTAAGTGAGCTCGTAACACCAGAGGTGTTACACTTCACGTCCTAAAGGTGTCCCAACACGTTACAATGCCCAACGGCCTAAAAGACGGTGACGCAACGCCTTGATAGATTCTAGACGTCAACTTGTTTTGACGATTCCTGTCAACTCAGATGTAATTTTGATATGGGACCACTTCCATTAGTTACCTTATCAAATTATCTTTCCATCCATATGTGGATCGTCGAAAACGAAGTCCGTATGCAACCTGGATGTCCGTTTTACTACACGCTGCCCCTGGAGCCTAAGATGGACTAGAAATTGACTTGGATTGGGCCTCCAACTTGGCTTGGACGCCCTTGCTTGCCTCCTAAGGTGGTGGCCAAGGAGGAGGACGTCCTTGGTCATCTCTTAGGTGTTCTCCATCTCTTTGGGGCGTGCTCCAACTTGGGCTAGGGTCCCAAGGATGAATATGAGGCCCACGACGACGACACGGCTTTCGGCAAAAACAACAACTTGTGGTGATGGTTTGGATGCCTTGCTGACGTGATCTTGAGGTGAAACCAGATCCATTTGAAAGCCATCAAGAGCTCATGGACCTCAAACCCACTCCGGATAAAAGAGTTATGGCCTTCCCAATGGAATATTGTCGGGCTGCCGATGACCTGAAAGTTCAACTTTGATGGACTTGCACTTTGAGACACATTTGTACCTACAATTAAATAATGACATGTACATGTGGAACCAAGTGAATTGTACCAAAAATCACTATGCAAATGTAGGAATTAGCTCACCTTCTAATTAATGGTCGTATCCGAAGGTGTCATGTCCTCATCAATATCTAGATACATGGCAAAATGGATGTACCAAAAAAATCAAAACGACTTATAATTTAGAATGGAGGGAGTAGCATTTTACGCTTTATAATCATTATCAGTCCAAAGGAATCTCAATGACTAGGAAGGTATAACTACCTTTGGTCTGCACTATCCTCTCTCTCTACTTCTAAAGATTTTTAAATTTTCTTATCAAATAAAAATAGAGTTCTTATAATTATACTACAAATATAAATACGAAATACAGTCAAATGTCATTCTGATTTATTTCTCCCCTCATTCAAATTACGTGAAATGTCATTCTAATTCATTTGAGCAAGTTTTTGCTCGATCCAATGACCCAAAATAATTAAAACTTGCCTCTCTAGCAATACCGATTAGAGTCTACTAAATTAAATGTTAGATGTTTTTTTATTATTATAAGAGTTCTTAGTATTTTATCCTAACGATCTCTCATATAATTATTAACGTGGAAACTCTCTTGGGACCTCCGAACCACCTGACAGTGGCTAGCGCAGCAAGTTGAATTTGTCCATACTTCTTAGAGCAATTTTAATTTATCTCAAAATGGAACAACCCACTACATAAAAGGCCAGACTAGTCTAGTGATTAATTTATCTTACGCCAAAGGTAGCTCAATGCACTTGAAATAAAGGAAAAGAAAAGTTTCCACGAAAGACGCAACGCAAAAGCCCCCCTCAAATAAAGGTTAAAGTTTGCACGCTCAGAAAAAGTGTAGTTTTTTCGGGACTCAAAATCAGATTCCCAGCCATGTGTATGGAGAATACTGCGGGTTGATGCCAAATGCAAGGAAAATTCCTTTGGAGGAAAGTGCCAAATGTTTTTATCAGGGAAAGAGAGCACAAAGGCAGGGAAGTATCCTAGGCCTTTTTTTATTTCTAGCAAAAAAATGTTGCTGCTCTTCCTGTCATCCATAACAGCCAGTATCTGAGTCTCTAAATTCATATGCTTTCAGTTGAATTTCAGATTGCTCATGAATCATGAAATCAAGCATACTTAACCTTAGTTTATATTCACATTTCTAGCATAAACATTGCCGAGTTTGGAAATCAGAAGAGAGATAGCAGACCGGATGATTGCAAGAGAGCATGATAATAATCAGATAATAAAGCTCCTGTTCTTTCACATGCTGCCATGCGTGATGTCTGCTGAGCCGAGCTGCTCTACTGCAATTTCGGCCCATGTCGAAAGAAAAAAAGAAGGGCGTTTGCACGCACTTGCACGCGACGGAAAGGACCGTCTCGCAATGATGGATTTTCGTTTTGGCATATATTCCTTGCCCACAAAAGGCGCCCGTCAGTCAGCTACAAAGGACAATTAGGGCCTTTAATCCCAGCCTTTGGTAAAACTAATCTACCCTGCTTTGGCAACAAAGATAGGGAGATGATGATAGCAGATTGAACTTTCGTCTGGGCGTAAGAATCCAATGCGCTTCGTGCGAGTTTGATTCCCATGTGACATTCACCTGTGTACGGTATGTAGAAGAAAGTAGCTGCAAGCTATCTCAGCCCGAGTTCTTAGTCTTGTTGACACTTGACAGGGTGCTTCGACCCTCGAGTGTAGCCATAGTGGCACAAGATACTGCCAAACTGCCAATTTCACTGAAGAAAGAAGGGTTCATGCACAAATGTTTACTAACCAGTGCGTTCGGTTTCGAACTCTGTCGAAAGTTCATTTGGTTTCTGTAAACGGAGTGTGTTTCGCCTGTCACTTTCAAACGAAGTGAGTTTCGAAGTCAGTCAGGCGCCAGAGCACCTCGCTGTCAGTGTCAGTCCGACAGAGAAGAAGTGAGGACGCTTGTGGGGGTGTCAGCAGCAATACTGGAGAGAACATTCTATGCGGCAGCTCATGCCTTCTTCGTGCGCACAGTCCTGCTTTTCTCGGCAGCAAGTGCCAAGTGCGAGGCCGGCCGCCGGCAGTGGCGCCAGTGCACCACCCACCGTGTCCTTTCCCAGCTGCCGAGGTGCCTCCACCCTCTCCCTGTTAAAGATGACGAAACAACGTGTGCAAAAGAGAAGCTGCACCTTGCTCTCTGCCCCTTTCAGATCTTTTTCAGCCTCTTTTCTTCGTCCGTAGCTGAGCCACAGCGAAATATTCTTCGTCCTTCTTTAACCAGAGATTACTGCATATACTACACAGCAAAGGATCGTTGCTCCGGAAAAGCAGATGAACCCAAGAATTTTTTAAAATAAGGAAAAAAAAACATTGTGTGATTTAGCAAGCAGCCTTTTCCATTGACATCCTGGTGCAGTTATGGAGCTTTCCCGTGCAAGTTGTAATCCTTGTCACATGAGTTCGATCCTACAAAATCATGGAGTAATCTATGCTTTTGTTTTCTAGTATAAATCGTTGTTAATTATGATGATAATATGTCAGCACATTCTTAGAGACAGAGGCTATGACTGACGGTGTCGTGATCGTCAAATAGTATACTTATCCATCATTCTTATCTACCTTTTGGAATTTGGAGCATGCATGCAAGCATAGATTCAGGCGTAGTGTACTAGTGTGTACCTTTTTCTCAACACCCCCTCTCTCTCTCTCTCTCTTCAGCGAATTTTGCCTCCATATATAACAAGAAGAAGATGCCATGGCCACTCACCAAGCTGCATTACACTGCAGTACACTACACCACACTCTCTCCAGCTACACCAAGAACCATACCAAAACCCAAGTAGAGCAAGAGCAAGGGTTGCAGCTGGCAAGAAGCTTTGTTCAGAGTCAGAGATGGAGTTCCTGTCGCAGATGTGGTCGCTCCTGGGCCTGCTCACCATCCTGCAGAACGTCCTCCCCACGCAGCTGCTCTCCGTGCTCCACTCGCTGTGGCAGTCGCTCCAGGACTCGCTCACGCCCTACTCCTACTTCGACGTGCCCGAGTTCCTGGGCTCTGCCGCCGTCGAGCCCAACGCGCTCTACCGCCACGTCCAGCTCTACCTCCACCGCTCCCTCCTCCTCTCCTCACCTCCGCCGCCCCGCCTCACGCTCTCGCTGCCGCGCTCCTCCGCCGTCTCCGGCGGCCACGGCGCTGCGCAGTCCCCGTCCCCGCCATCCGTGTCGCTCTCCCCGAACCACTCGGTCGCGGACACCTTCAACGGCCACCGCGCCGTGTGGACGCACCACGCCGACACGCTCCAGGACTCGCTCGAGGAGCGCCGGTCCTTCTCGCTGCGCCTCCCGAAGCGGCACGCCGCGGCGGTGCTCCCGGCGTACCTCGCGCACCTGGCCGACGCGGCGGACCACCTGGAGCGCTCGTCGCGGGCGCGGAGGCTGCACACCAACGCGGCGTCCCCGCGTGGCGCCGCGGCTTGGGCGTCGGTGCCCTTCTGCCACCCGGCCACCTTCGACACGCTCGCGCTCGACCCGGGACTCAAGGCGCGCCTCCTCGCCGACCTCACGGCTTTCTCCGAAGGCAGGGAGTTCTACCGCCGGACAGGCAGGCCGTGGAAGCGCGGCTACCTCCTGCACGGCCCGCCCGGGTCCGGAAAGTCTTCGCTCATCGCGGCCATGGCGAACCACCTCCGCTACGACGTGTTCGACCTCGAGCTCACACGTGTGGCCACCAACGCCGACCTCCGTGCGCTCCTAATCCAGACCACCAACCGGTCGCTCATTGTCATCGAGGACATCGACTGCTCCCTCCACCTCACTGGCGACCGAGGCCTAGCCTCCGAGAGGATGCACAAGAGACGCAAGCTCCACGCCATTTCCTACAACGACGACTCATCCGACTCGGACGACGACGCCGACGCTGGTGGCAATGGTGACGGCAACCACTGGGGCAAGGTGACGCTGTCCGGCCTCCTCAACTTCACCGACGGCCTGTGGTCGTGCTGCGGCGAGGAGCGCATCATAGTGTTCACGACGAACCACGTGGACGGCATCGACCCCGCGCTGCTTCGCCCGGGGAGGATGGACGTCCACGTCCGCCTCGACGCGTGCGGCACGCACGCCATGCGAGAGCTGGTGCAGCGCTACGTCGGCGTTGGTGACCACGAGATGCTCGACGCCGCCGAGGACTCCATCAGGGGCGGCGCCGAGATGACGCCGGCCGAGGTCGGAGAGGTGCTGCTTAGGAACAGAGACGAACCGGAGGCGGCGGTGACAGAGCTCGCCGCCGAGCTGAAGGCGAGGAGAAGCGCGGCTGACGATCTCCGCCAGTGCGAAGACTCCGCGGCCGAGCTCTCCGACGGGTCGCCGACGAAGAAGGGGAGGAAGGGGTTGGGGTGGGAGGGCAAGGTCAGGATCCTCGGAAGGCTGAGAAGCCTCACCAAGTCGGAATCGGGCCGGCGATGAGCTAGTTTGACTTTGTTTTAGGTCAGCTCTTGGTCGGAGGATTAAGTATTAACTAGAATCTCTGCTTGGTTTTGATGTTTTTTTTTTTTTGTAGCCTCTGTAATTTGGTTTGAAGTGGATGCTTAATGCAATAATGATGTTGACAAGATAATTGAGCCAAATTACCCCTACCCGAATCCGAACACTGCTCGGCCTGAGCCGGAGCCACCTCTACTTAGGTCACATGAACGGTGTACTCCTGTCGCGTTCCGGATCAGAACACCGCCTCGATCTCCATGGTCGCCATGCCACGCTGCATGACGGACGACGAGCTCATCGCGTCGGGAACGATCATGGACGCCACACGGCTCGCGGCAGTCTGCGCCAAGATCGACGAGTACGCCGACGGGGGAGCACCCATGAGCGGTAACAGAATCGCGGCCATCTGCGCTATGATTGACGACGGCGCCGCCGCTCGCAAGCACCGCAGGAATAGGAGGCGGCGGCGGCTGTGCGTGGACAGCACCCGCAGCTACAAGCAGATAGGCGAGATCAGCAATGGCAGTTTCGGCGCCGTCATCAAGGCACGCCACCGCAAGACCGGTCACACCGTCGCCATTAAGAAATTCCGACGAAGGCGAGACGGGAAGAAATCCCCCGACGTCCGCAAAGTGCTGCGTGAGGCCTGCTTCCTGGCGGCCTGCGGCGGCCACCCCAACCTCGTCGGGCTCCACGCCGTGGCACGCGACCCGCGCACCAAGGAGTACTCCGTCGTCATGGAATACGTCGGGCCGAGCCTGCGCCACGCCCTCAAGGAGCACCTGCGCGTCCACGGCGCCCCGTTCCCGGAGGCCGACGTGCGCCGGGTCATGAGGCAGCTCCTGACCGGCACCGAGGCGATGCACTCGCGCCGCATCATCCACCGCGACATCAAGACCGGGAACGTCCTCGTCAAAGAGGAGGACGGCAGCGCCGTGAAGATCTGCGACTACGGGCTGGCGGTGTCCACGGCGGCCAAGTCCGGGCCGCCGTACCCCAGGGCAGGCACGGTAGCCTACATGGCGCCGGAGGTGCTCATGTATAGATCCGACTACGACGAGCGCGTGGACCTGTGGTCCATCGGGTGCGTCATGGCGGAGCTGCTGTCCGGCGAGGTGCTGTTCAAGGTGGGCGACGACGGCGCGGAACAGATCGACAAGATCTTCGACTTGCTCGGCGCGCCGGCCGAGGAAACGTTCGAGACATTCATGTCGCCGTTCATGGCCAGCAAGGTGCTGCGGCGGCGAGCCCGGCAGCCACGACCGCGCCGCGACAGCCGACTGCGCGAGCTTTTCCCCGGTGATATGCTGTCGCAGGATGGGTACGATGTCTTGAAGGGGCTCCTGACGTGTAACCCCAAGGAGAGGCTCACGGCCGCCACCGCTCTCCAACAACCGTGGTTCACTGGCACCGTTGGTGTCCCTGCTTCGGAGGTAGGCGCCCGCGCCACGGAGTCGTCGACACAGATGGCATGGCCTATCGTGCTGGTGCTGAAAAGTGTCTGGGCATTTTTGAGGAAGATGGCATTGCCATTAATCTGGTTGCCCCACCAATTGTTTCTAAGATAAACTGGCATTAATTAAGTACTAATAAAGTGAATAGTGGCCGTCAGAGTCACAAAAAGAAAAACACAAATTTTAATAGAGGCGACAAAGGACTCGAAATGATTTCACAAAGGCATTTGGCGCTAGCAACACACCATACCATAGCTCCTCTTTGACTTTTGCGACCAGATTTTCCATCCAAACGTGTTGTCGCTGAAAAATACGAGCGTTAAGCTCTTTCGAAATCTCCCACGACACCAAGGGATTGCCTTGTGATAAATGTGCAGATATCATACATAGTTTCTCGGCCTCAGGTCTCAGCACCACTTGTGCAAATTCTGATACTAGTAATTTAACCCTGATTTACCAGGATAAATCAAACATGTATGTAGATCACCAATTACCATTACTTCTATATAACTCAGTTTATACCAGTTAAATACAAAAACCATTAATGGTCCAGAACAATAATTAGATGGCAAAGTTTCCAATGAACAAACTGACCAGTTGACGAACATGCACAGGAAGGGCACCACTCTTTCGATCGATTAATATGGTTCAACAAAGAACTGCAAGCATCACCAACGGAACAAATTAGAGAAGTAACAAAGAACAGACTTAGCTGTAAAACAAACAGGTAGCAGCATTTCAGCAGATTATGACAATCTTCTACAATATGAGTAAACGAGAAAATAAGCAATTATGCTCATGAATAAACTCAGAACTCGCAATAAGATTGCAAGAACAAAGAAAACACATAGGCCATGTTCGCTTCTCTTATAATCTGTCTTTTTCAGCGAAGCGAACGGGGCCATAGCTTGATCATTAGGACAGCAAATATATTAAGATGCGTGCCATGAGTACAAAATGTAGCACATAATGATAAATAAAAGGTCCGATTAGCTAAACAGAAAAGATGAAAAATAAAGTACTGATTATCCTACTTTTACTGGACAGAATTGTACAATTACATGAATCGAACTGGTCTTCTCGCCTTCTATGTGCATTGATAGGACAACGAATGATATATCATGATTATCACTTGAAAAACTGTATATGATGCTCTAGTCTATAGTCACCTCAGAGCTAAAATTATAGGTATACATATGTTCATGATTTCATTAAGCATAATCACTCCAGAACAATAAACTGCAGCTCCTTTGGGCTTCTTATTGCAAAAAAGATACAATTCCATGCTGCCACAGAGTCAGATGCAGCCAAGTATGTTCAATATCATATTGTTGTAGCTTCTAATGATTGCATGCCATAAACAAAACAAACATTATTAGTTCTTACTTCTTACGACCCGGTGATACTCCACTGTTGCAGCACTTATACCTGATTACCTGATTACCTTCACAAGTTAGTTGCTTAGCCATTTCTCCGTGACATTGTAAATGGTTAAATGCGGGAAGGGGAGACCTAAAAATCTAATAATCAGGCTATTGATAAGGATAGATTCATTGTCACAAATGAATCATAAAGAATAGCAAGTGAGGTAGCAACTGACACTAAGCACAGATCTAATACTAGTACACTCCTGGTGTGCCACTACAGGATGAAACTAGTATTTGTGATAACTTAGCAGAGTTTTTCTCTTTTGAATTCAACTTTCGGCTGTACCTGTGGATTTCAAATCTCACCACCTAATATACTAGTTTAAATGTTCTCAATTCTCAACATTTTCTTCTTTATTTTCTTATGCCAATCTGATAAAGCAAATCATTATTTTAAGCATTACTACATTGTCTGGAACAAGAATGCTTTCCACAAAAAGGGTCCAACCAACGAGAACACCCAATCTACTTAATAAGAGCTGTGGATAAACGTGTGACTCTATTTCTGCCAAATCAGGATCTCCGTCTATATCCTTGAGCAAATGAGCTAAGAAACACTAGAGGATGTGGGTTGTCTCTGTTTAATCTTATGATGATTACACATCGGACCATTTCAACTCCTGAATATCGTTGGTACCTATAGCATTATAAACAACAGATAAACCAAAGCATGCATAGTCGTTGCTAATGCTACAGAACTAAAAATGATTCCACAGAAGCAGAACCAAGACCCAGACACACAATAGTAGCTAGTACTGCATACCATTGGGTGGCGCGATCTTAGGGGAAGGGCGGCAGCCGCAGCACGACCTCCTCGGTGTCCGCCAGGTCCGACCGTGATATCTGCAACAACGCCCACAAAAATCAGAGAACCAGAACCTCTAAATCAGCAACTTTGCACGAACAAGAGATGCGACGAGGAACAGTTCCTAGTTTCCTACTGGCCAAGTGGGATACGAACCGGATCGCGGAGGACGGGCTTTGTGTCGTCCACGGCGGGCCGGAACGGCGGCTTTCGGCTCTTCGTCGGCGCCCCGGAGGACGAGCTCATCCCAGTGCTATCTGTCGCGGCCGCGGTGGCGGTGGGGGTGGGGGGGGCGGAGCCGGAGCCGCGGGAGAAGGGACCCGGGACGGCCGAGGGGGTCGCGAAGGTGTACGGCTTCTCGCTTCCGGCGGACATGATACCGACGGGGAAGTGGTGGATCACCGCCGATTGGGCGCCTCACTTCGTTTAAGATTTCAGATCCGAAGATTTCGGTGCCTGAGCACAACCGTCTTCAGCAGTTCAGCACTACTACCTGTTTCAGCAAGTCGTACACAGCAGTCGCATCGCATAGACTCCTCTACATTTTTTTTTTTCTTTTGACAACGACTCCTCTACATTTTGAACGCTCAGCGAACAACCTGGCTTTTCAAGGAAACGAACAGGCAGTCCGACTGTATGTGCAGCAGCGTTTGAGAAAAAAATAACTACACAAGCTGCAACATCTGTTTTTTCTTCTCTGACGTTCTTAACTCTTAATTAAGGACAAGCCTCAGATCCACACATCATTCGCTCCATGATTCCATTACTTTGGTCCGTAGGGTACACAAAAACTGGTCGGTCATCGTGAATTCGCAGTACAAGAGTTGCATATTTACAAAGGAAACACCACTGGGAACACACATGCACTCTTCAAATGTACTACTAGTCTACTATTGCTTCCTTTACAAAATGGAAACATTTCCCATTTTTCTGATTGCAAAACAAGAAACAAAACACAAATGAAACTTTGTTCATTTCTTTGCTTCTGAATTCAAAACGTTTTCTGATTCTCATTCTTCAGCAGTACATTGTTTGCCTACCTCAATGATTCCATCTCTTTGGTTTGTAGGTTACAATAAGATTTTCAACAGAAATGATCGCTAAGTATCATAGCGCGACATAAACGCAAACAAAACACTTGCATAAATCCCCTAAACTATCAAGATTCATTAGACTTGGGACGAAGCTGCGCAGAACCTGACAGTGGTCGTGACAGCATCACAAAATGCTTGTACATCCGCCACCAATTCTCCGATGCTTCATCGACCGTCCGGTAGGTCCAGATATGTGGCTTGGCCTTCTCCCGCGCGATGAGGATCTCCTCCACCTCTGCCGCCCGCTTTGTCTTGAGAGTGAGGCAGTCCACAAGATCGCCCCACTTGCCGAAGCAGTTGTCGAACTCCCCATGCCGGTAATAGTTCTGCATCTGGTGGAATGGCGAGTAGCAGAACCAGAGCATATCAAAGCATTTTATGCAGTCCAGCCGTGGTGGTGGTGGACTGCTGGTTGCCTCTGGCTTCTCTTTCGGATCCATAAATCCTTGCTGCATAATAAGAATCCAGCAATAGTAAGATTTATACACATTGGGTTCAAGTATTAGTACTTGTAGTGGATACACATATTATCATAAAGAGCTCAAAATCTTGTTTGGCATGAAGAATGCACAGGCCACACGGATGGTGGTGTGCCATAATCACAGCCAAGGTGGTCAAATCTCACCATCTCAGCAACCTACAGTACTGAAAACACTACAGGAAAAGGCACACTAGAGACTCTAATTTATTGTTTTTTTATTGATAAATCCTCCAAGAGCAAGATCAAGTAACTGGAATTTTGGAATAGAAAATAACTAGAAAATGTGTTCTGTTTTTTGTTGATAAAAACAAATGAGAGACACAGCTAGGAATAGGTGATGACTGATTATAAATCTCCAATGGTATGGTAAGTTCATCTCAAATCATATAAAAGAATTAATAAAGGGGCTAGGGGTCAAACAAAATGATTTTCAGGAAAACAAAACAAGGAATTTTCTCATGTCTGTTGCTGTTGTTGCAATGGCCGTGGTGGGTGCTGGTTACTCAATTGAGGCAGCAGGAGCATGTACTGTATCTTATAATGGGTTAGCTCTAGTTTTGCCAGTTGCCACAATAATTCTGAAATTAGATTTGGTGGATGACTGGATATATAGATGATTGGCTACTCGCATTGTGAGACAGGGCAGCAAGGTATGAAATCCCCGTGGCCCCTGCCAAACTCCACAACCTCATCTCCTCCATTGTAGCTGAGAGGAGGTTTGAAAGATTGGGCAAAACCCCATCAAACACACAACGGTTATGAAGGTTCCACAGAGACCAAGCAGCCAGGATGACAATCGAATTGACACCTTGCCGAGCTTGACCAGCCAAAGCTGCACTAGCACCTCACCACCACTCATCAAAGGAATCTTCCCCTGGCTGAGGGGAAAGGTTCTGAAACCCAACATTGTGCAACAACAGGAACCAGAACTGCGGAGTAAAAACACAAGCCACCAACAAGTGATCTATCGTCTCATCTTCCTGGTCACAAAGGGAAAAAAACAGGGAGGATGATCAGACCCTGACAAGCTAATAGAACAAGCAAGACTCCATAGCCCACTCTCCTACTAGATAAACCTAATAGTCTCCTGGACATTAGGGGAACACCATTGAACATGCAGTTTTCCCACAACATCCAAGCCCCCAAGGGGTAGAGGGTATTGAGCTGGATGGGCCAGCATACAATGCCCAAGTTGTTGTTCTTATTTAGTTTTTGCTTCTATTATCCTATGTTACATGGATACTTCACTGAAGCCGCGTATCGCGTATCCGATACGTATCGGATACGGATACGTGTCCGATACGCCTAGGATACGTATCCTCCGAGTATCCGATTTTGTATTATTTCCGTTGAAATCGGATACTCCACCGGACACGTATCCTGCGTCCCGATACGGCCCAGCCCAGTAGAAGCCCACGGAGACAACCTCAGTCCCGCACGCCTGCAGTCGCATTCCCGCAGTCGCAGTCCCGCACGGAGACAACCTCACGGCTGCGCCCGCGCGTCGCGCCGCAATCCCGCTCGCCGGCCGCCAGCCACCGGCGACGAGCTTCCGCCTCCGCCTCCAGGCGCCACCAGCCTCACCGCTTCCTCCGGCGAAAACCGTTCCTCTCCGGCGCGCTACCTCCGTTCCGGGTGAGTCTAGGCGCATCGCCTCCTCCCACGGCCGGATCCTTGTCGGCCCGGGTCTGCGCGATTCGTGGATCCGGTGGCTCGGGTCTGCGCCGTCCACAGCAGTACAGCACCGCTCCTCCCCTCCCCTTGCTTCTGCAGGCCGCACGGATCCTCTCCATCAGTCCGTCCTCACCTCTTCTTCCTCTCTCTCTGCAGGTCTACGAGGTAGTGCCGGCGACGAGGCCTCTCCAATCCCTCCGGCGAGCTCCCCTTCCAAAGTGGTGAGGTAAGCCTGCCCCCGTTCCTTACCTCTCCTGTAGACTCCAGACTCTGAACCATGCTGGTGTTGTCTCTAGTATTGATGAAGTGCAGTTCGTATTGATGAAGTGCAGTTCTTGTTGCTTTGCTTGTATGCAGTATTAGTCTGTACTCTGTTACTACTCCTGTTAGTGAAATTGCTAGTGTATGCAGTTCGTATTGATGAAGTTAGTCTTATTGATGAAGTGCAGTTCGTAACTTCGTATTGATGAAGTGCAGTTCTTGTTGCTTTGCTTGTATGCAGTAGACTAGTAGAGAGTAGATGGCGTCTCCAAATATGAGCAGTGCTGGAACAAGTGCTAGTGTAGGATCTGCAGCCACAAACACAACTGACATCAAGGCTCCACTTTGGGATCATGTAACCATTCTGGAGAAGCCTAGAACTGGTGGAGGAAATGCTATGTGGCGCTGCAAGTACTGTCCAATGCAAAAACTGAGTAGTTACACTAGAGTTGAAGCTCATTTGCTGCAGAAGGGAGGAACGGGAATAGGTAAATGTCCTAATGTTACATATGAAATGCTTAGTGAAATGAGGAAGGAAATTGAAAGGTGCAAGAATCTGGTGGAAAGATCCAAGTCAAGAACTGTTTCTTTGCCTATTGCTCCTTCCTCAAGCAATACTGCTGACTGCAACAAGAGGAACAAGAGGGGGCCTGTTTCTGCATTGGAAAAAGCTTGGGCATTAGAAGACCGTAAGCACTTGGATGCTTTAATTAGTAGAGCAATTTATTCTGGAGGGGTATCTTTTAATTTTCTGAGAAATCCATATCTTCGAGAAGCCTTTACCTTTGCTTGCAGCCGCAACATGCAAGGTTATGTGATTCCTGGTTACAACAGAGTTAGGGAGGGGCTTCTGAAGCAAGAAAGGAGGCACATAGAGACCTTGTTGGAGAGCACAAAGAGCACATGGGCAGAGAAGGGAGTCACAATCTGCTCTGATGGTTGGTCAGATCCTCAGAGGCGACCAATCATCAATTTTAGAACATGCTGGCTGCTGCTGCATGAACTTGCTGGCTGCTGCATCAATTTCAGAGTTCAGAGTTCAGAGTTCAGACAATAGGAACTTGCTGGCTGCTGCTGCATGAACTGCAAGGTGATGTACTGAACTACTACTGATTAGTGATTACTGAATACTCAAGTAGTCAAGTTTTAGTAATAAATTGATTGATAGTTGGTTACTTGGTTTTTCTGTGCAAATTCTGGACTTGGAGTCTTGGAGAACTCGAGAATGGACAATTGAAGAATGGAGATGCTTCCGGAGTTCCGGTCTTTGCTTTGGCTGGTAATTGCTATTGCAAGGTAATTTACTACTTTCACTCTTTCGCAATTTTAATATGCGCTATTATCTATATTTATTAAAAAACAGTAAAACGTATCCGTGTATCGGGTTGCTTAGAAAATTGCCGTATCCGCGTATCCGTATCCTTCCGATACCGATACGCGTATCCGTATCCGTGCAACTTAGCTATTATCTGTATTAATCATCTATAACTGCTTATGCATGGGACATCATAACTCATCAGTCTAAACTTCATCAACCAGAGAAGATTGGGGGTCAGTCATTCTATACCGCCCCCTTCAACCATTTTTTTTAAACATCTGTGACCCACGCCCTCGACACTAACCAGCGAGCCAGTCGACCAAGCTTTCTGGTGATTGTGTGCCAGAATCACGGTACAAGGGGTTAATCTCAGCATCATACAGCACTGAAAACGCTAAAGGAAGAAGCGCACCAGAGACTCCAATTTATTGCTATTCAACTGCCAAAATTACCTAATAAGCAAATTTGGATTGAAATATAAGAACAAAGAAATTTTGCCTTGTTTGTTGACAAATCAAAAGACATCGGATACTCAGAAAATAGGAAAATGTTTAGTTCAACGCTGAAACGTAAAGCATTTTGACAGTGATTTTTTTTATCTGAAACAAAAAGGTTATGCAATAACATTCTGAATCAACATCAGAGGTAACTGAAGTCAAACACTACAATAAAGCAAAAATTAGCACTAAACTTGAAGAGGCATAGTAGATGTAGCAAAATAATTAAGGATTACATCTAAAATTACTTAAAGTTCAGATTGGATTTAAAAGACAAAACCAGAGTTTGGAATCAGTAAATCAAAAAGGGAAAGGAAGTAAATACAGAATGAAGACACTAGATTCGTTGCTAGAGATGTAGCAACAATAATTCAAAATTTTAGCATCACAGGAATTTTTTATGCAAATACCATTATAATGTACTCGAATGTCCATTGAGCTGAATATTACACCATTCATGATTAGAAATGCTTTCGATTTTTTTTTCAGAATAAGACACTCAGAGCATCTCCAACAGATTACTCATCTCATCCCCAATATCCCCAATGCCAAAAAACTTTGAGAGGGCTCCAACGGATTACATAACCCATTACCAATACCTAAAATTTTTCAGTAACTACTCAAAATCACTCCTCTCTCCCTCAAATCTAGGAGATTCACCCCCCTTCCCGTACCTGATTTTTTTTGGTAGGAAGACACTTGTGAAGTGCTCACTGGGCTTAATGCATAGATTAAGGTGTTTAGGCGATGCCAATGCAGCAATGAGACAATGTTACATGCGCTGGGACTTGGTGACAGCAGCCGTGTGATATGAGAGAGCCAAAAGCGTGCTGTGTGTGCAAGTCAGGTGTTGGCCTATGGGTATTAAGGAGAGGGAGGTGTCGTGCAATGAGCTGTTGGGCGAAAGAAATGCCGCAGCTGCCAGTTTGTAGGAGAGCAGCATCGCGTACCTCAAGAGCACCGAGCAGCCAAGCAATGGACAGGACTCTCGACTCCTGGAGGACTCGGTGGAGTGGAGCCTCCATGCCATTCCTAATCACTAGTCCCCCATTCTTAACCCCAATGAAGAAAAAAAAAAGAACTACCGTTTCCAGCGGATCTCCGTTCCAATCCCCAGTGAGATTTTTTTTATTCTCAACCTCTCAAAATACATCCTCAAACCCCTCGAAAAAAAGGAACCCACAATACCTAAGATTGTTGGCGGTAGGCCGGTAGTTCCAACTGTCGTTCCCCTGCCGTCGCTTGCGCTGGTACCGGCAGCCGCCGTAGAGGAAGCCGAACGCCGGGTTAAGTTGACTGCAGCCGCGAGCTCCAGCCGGCGTGGATCTCCCAGCCCCCAACTCGCTGCCCGAAGTCGCGGTGCTGGCAGAAGAGAAGAGGAGAGAGAGCGGCGGTGGTGGAAGAGGAGAGAAGGGGAAGCGGCGCCGTGGCGTGGGGCGGCGCTGGCGGAGGAGGAGGAGAAGTGGCGGCACGGCGCTAGCGGAGGAGAGCGGCGACGTGGGTGGAGATCCCAGCGAGAGGCCGAGAGCGGCGCGGGCGGAGAGAAAGGACTCAAGGAGCGACGGGAGAGAGACCGGCCGGTAGTGGCCCAGCGAGAAAAAAGGGGAAAAAGGAGTCCACATGTATGTTATTGGGCCTTCCACTCAAAAAAAAAGTTATTGGGCCAGTTTTCTTATTCTGCTATAATAGTTTTTTCTCCAAATTCTAAAGTCAAGAAATATTTTGAGGCCCTTTTAATAACTTTTTGGAGGACAAAATATATTTTAGGATATGATTGTTTAGCTATGAGCCCTGAAAAAATGTTGTAAGATGTAAGTTGTATAAAAAACTGGTATAAATTATGTGCTATGATAAAATTGTAAGATGTTTGATTGAAACTATGAAACATACCATTCTCTCTATTTCCCTTGAAACAACTGTAAAACATCTCTCTATTTTCATTCATCTAAAAAATCAGAAATCCAAAAGAATGGGCAAAGATGCTGTGAAAATCATATTACACGAAAGCAGTTCCTTCTAGAAAAACAGCTTCAAATTCCATCTATTCGGTTAACGTTTTGTTTTTAGCAGTAAAAATACTTTCCAAAAACTAAATCAAACACATACTCAATATATTGATTGAAAATCTCTGAGAATCACAGTTCATAAAAAGTCTAATTTACCTCCCTCAACTATCATGATAGTTCGATTTTTCAACCTGAACTACAAAATTAGTATTTTGATCCTCCCAACTTGCATCTTGGGTGATTTTAATGATGCTTTTATTGGTGTGGCGCCACGTCAAATGAGGGTAAATCAGACTAAGTTGATAGTTCAGGAGAGTAAATTGTACTTGAAATATTTAAACATACCCAAAAATTCATAAAAATAGTATTTTAGAAAAAATCTAAATATTTTTATATAGAAAATGAATCCTAAAATCCGTTTAATCTTAGAAAAATCATAGAGATTTTTTTACCTTGGAAAATTATGAAATTAGTTTTGGATTTTTTTTTCTAAAATCATGCTCTATCTTATGTTGCCTAGTTTGAAATTATTTGAATATTTATGGATTAAATTTAGTGCTTATATGCTAGCAGAAACTTTTGCTATCTATTAATTAGTCAATGTTGATCTTCTGGGCTACACAGAAGCGCCAATGGAGTATCGTCAGACTGCACGGATGGTGCATGCACCTACACAAGCTAACACAACTACTTTTAAATGTATCCATGGAAGGGACCACCGTCCACCCCCTGTCACACATACTTGGTCATGATTATGTGGAGCATTTTTTACATTCTACATCGACTAATTATAATAGTTAATGAGAGTTTCTACTATAAAAATCAAATAGGCATCAAAATAAGTCCATAAAAATTCAAAAAAAAGTAAGCTATGCACTATAAGATAGAGCATGATTAAAAAATGAAACTAGTTTCATAATTTGTTGAGTTAAAATATTTTTTCTAAGATTAAACCAAATTTTAGGTTTTAATTGCATTATTTTTCTATGTAAAAATTTGAAAAATTATTTTTATGATTTTTGGATATTTTTAAAAAATACTTCTAGTCCAATTTGCCTCTCTGAATTTTCAATGTAGTCCAATTTACCCTTATGACGTTGCGTCATATAATAAAGTCACCATCAAAACCATTATTCACTGTATAGAAACAAATAGTTTTAAAAGTTGAGGAAGATAAAACAACATGTTCTATAGTTCAGTGTGAAAAACCGAACAATCACCATGGTTAAGGAAAGGTAAATTGAACTCTTTTCTTATATAAAATATAAAAATTTACATGGTTGGAACTTGGATGCCGTCGTCGTGTAGGCGTGGCATGATTGTCTGGTTCGCTCGAAGGCCAGCATCGAGGACGGCGGCTAGGTGTTCTCGCAGAAATGAACCCAATCTTGTTCATGGGCTTGGCTTCTCCATGTTGAGATGTTGGGCTTATGGGCCCAATTGGTAAAATATTTTTCAGTTGTGGGATCTTAGATAGAATTTTTTTTATTTAAAAATCGTGTTTTGTAAAAAAGAAAAAATGTAAAATATATTTTTTGAGAGAGTACAAGTGGATGCACACAACTCTCATATTCCACACTCACACCACATGCACACACACCTGTGAGCGTCCGTACACTCTCAAATAAAAGAGGTTAGGAGGACCTCCAGTGTGTGTGAAACGCGCAGTACCACAGAACGCATACGCGTGTGTACCCTATTTTTTCTGAAAAAATCCAGAAAAAGGCGTGACACCAAGATTTAAACTTTGATAGGTAGTGTCGCACCGGACAGTCCTACCACCAGTTTCACGTAAAACTAGTGTCACTGCCGATTGAAATGCCAGGAAGGACCCACCGCTACTTAGGATGGCGGAATATTGGTTACCGCTGTTTGAATTGGTAGAACTTTTTGTCCCGGCTCATCTTAAAAAAATATAACTTTTATGTATAAATGCAAATAAAGATAATATTAATATAAAGTTGTAGACAAAAAATATCTACAACATTGTAGTCCAAGTCTTTTTATTTAGGTCATTTTGACACCTACAAAACTGATACAATTTTATCTAAACACTATATCAATTATTTTAGTAAAAGATGGCTTAAAATGAGAATGCTGTGAACTAAAAGGTTGTAGATTTCATTGTTAAAAGCAACTTTTATACGAACTTTATGTTCATATGTGACAATTTTCGAGCTTTCTTCGAAATTGGTATATTTATCATAATCTCTTGAATTGTTTAAGACATAACTTC